TTTTCAGTGGGTGTCGTAAGAGGCGACTAAAGGAGGGCGAAGAATGAGTAGCAGCGCCCCTCTTAAAACATCTCTAAAGCCTAACTGCGGTCGCCAATCCGCCTGCCAAGCGTGGCTACTACTGGCAAAACCCCCTAAGGAGAGGCTTATGTTCAGCAGTGAACAGTTAAAAGCTGATGATATGATGATGATGACGAATCTATTTTCCAATCGATTTCAAAAAGGAGGAGGTCCTCATTTCGGTCATACTTTCTTTACGTTTGTTACCTCATAACTCCGTCCGTTGTAAACTGATTTGGAAAAATATTTTTTTATCTGAAAGGATATACTTATAGATTCTAGGTCTTGTAGAAATTTCATCAAAATCGGTTCATTAGTTTAGTTTTTAGATCAAAATAACTGGGCTTGTCACAATTCAAGTCGGTTTTTTAGGTGAGATACTTTTTTTTAATAGATTTTCAAATTTTTTTTATTCTAATTAATTATCAAATTTTACTTTTTTTTAATGGTTATACAGATATTATTCTCAAAAAATGAGTTTTTCTGAAGAAATGTTTTATGAAGTTCTGAGCATTATTATTGATAATGTTTTTTTCTCTCTCTCTTTATTCAGGTCAACAAACAGTAAACATAATAACAATATATATATATATATATATATATATATATATATATATATATATATATATATATATATATATATATATGTATCTAAATATCAATAATTTTAGTATCACCAATGCCGTTGGAAATGAAAATATGCAAAATGGTTGTGTGCAACTACTTGTACAAAATTAAATTATTAATAAATTAAATTATTATAATTTAATGTTGCTGTAGTTTTCAATAGTATTTGTTTAATTTTGTTTAATTTAGTATTGTCTAATTTTGTGTTTCCTTTATTTGTATTTTATTTATGTAAATTTTAGTGGCTGCCAAATTACTATTTAAGTATATAATTAGGTATTGTTCTAGCCGTTTGTTTGCCTTAAATAAATATATAAAATAAATAAATAATCGGTCACCAATAATTCCACTACTCAATAATATTAAACACTGTTTAAATAGGCAGTTATGGTCTTACTGTAATAACATTGCTTATATAGTAAAACAGATTTACTTTTTTTTTAAACATAAAGAGATGTAATACACTTTTGTAATAGGACACTATACTCTGTTATTTCCATGAATATAGGTCACGGTTACCACTTTCCATCAGGTGGGCCGTCAGCTTTTTTTTTAAAAAAACACTGAAGTAGCAAATAAGCGGCTCACCTGATGGTAGGCGATTACCGTAGCCTATGAACACCTGCAATACCATGGCCCGTCCTGAAGAACTCTCTTTACCCCTTTTTTGAAGATCCTCATGCTATAGTTTCTTGGGAAAGCCTAGACAACCTAAATGGCCGTATTTTTTCATTGCGTTGATTTAGAAGCTTGATTTTTTCACTGCTTTAAGAGATTGCAGACCTGAGTATTTCAACTTGATAACTTCACGCATTCCTAAGAAATAGGTCTTAACAGACGGACGGACAGACAAAGTGATCCTATAAGAGTTTCATTTTTGCCATTGGAGGTACGGAACCTTAAAAAAACAAAAAACATACGACAGGAAAACGTAATAATTCACCGTTACTCTACTTAGAAGGGTATTGTTTTGTTAAGCCGTCGCTCACATCCGACGGACAGCAAGTCGGTAAGTAAGGTCAGTTATGAATATCTAATGGGACCTTGAACCTACCCATTCAGGGCGCACGCGTTGCCTAACACATTTAATATTAAACTGTGGCTCATTCGAAAAGTTTCGTGAAAAACTAACATTTACATGTTTGTATGTAAAGTCTTAAATTATAAGACACAGAGTTCTTATGAAAAGAATTAGTACAATGGCGGATTTATTCCATAAAAGAGATTTTTTCCAGTCTACCTTCGACTGTCTAATAGATATAGGTGGAGACAAAAAAAAAAAAAAAACTAGAAAAATAATTGGTGTTACCAGTTACAACACGAGCACAACATTAATACTGGACAACGTAACACATCTAAATGACACCTATATAAATTACTGACTTTTATTCTAAGACAATTTATGTAATATGTAATAGTTTGTTGATTGTTTTAGTGTCCTGAAATGGATTATACGTGATTGTGGAACGAGAAGCCAAAGCCGTAACATAATGACAGCTTTGACAGCTGTCAATAGTTCGATGACAATCGAAATGCTATTGATTATTGTTGATGTTTGCACGTAATTGTTTTTCGCGGTATTTTGTAATAGACAAAGTATACGATTATCGTTTTGTTAGTAAATAGTATCTGCGCGTTTTACTTTTGACTCTTTAAAAATCTAATATGTCTAAAATGACTATATCTACATGTATTTGTGTTAAAAATAATATAATATAAGATTAAATTTTATAAAAAAAAATATATATATTTATACAATATAAATATTTTTTTTTGCACACTTCACACCCAATTTTGATTTAATATCTAAACTATTAAACCGATTTTTATAATATTTCTATGGGACCTATCTGTATAGTACAGTCCTTTCAGATAAAAAAAACATTATCCAAATCTGTTTATATTATTTATAACGGTTGGAAAATGAACACATTTTTTAACCGTCTATAAAAAGCATAATAAGCAAAAGGCCCCTGAAGGCACATTTTAACAAAAAGTTCTCAAATGTTCCTTATTTTTTTATTGTAATACGATATCGTTTCCCATTTCGAGCTGACTTTGCAATTTTAATATAAATTATAATCGACAACAATTACTTTTATGTTGGTTTTATTTCAACGCTGGAAAAGTTTAATTTATTAATAGTAATAATAATTAATTTTTATTTCAGATAACTGTGATCCATATCTGTTAGACATTTTGAAAATGATTTAAAACTATGTTAGAAAAACAAAAACGTCAGGCCGTCGTTAAGTTGTACAAAAGTCGTTTGCTTGGGCACCTCCGTCCCATTCGTGTTTTTACCGTGAAGCAATTGTATTTGCATGGCTGTGTTTCGGATTGAAGGGTGGGATATGGCAGTGAATTTACAGGGTACAGAGGATTAACACCTGGGTCCTCAGGAATAGGAACGCATGGGGGGTATCACGGGCGAAACAGTATACACTGTTATGTCAATAATATAGCTTATATCATGCGACGGTTATCACTTTCCATTAGGTGGTCCGTCAGCTTGTTTGCCATTCTAGTTGAATAAATAAAAAAAAAGTAAATTAATTTTACAGGAGAACAAAAAAAAAACGAAACGAATCGTAAAGGCAAAACAAGTGATGATAGGTAATACATAAAAGTCTAATGCGATAAAACAGTTAATATCACATCTTTGTTTTTAATTTTGGAAATGTTTTTTATTAATAAAAAAAAAAAAAAATCATAAGTTATGGAGTGTATCTGTGACTTTGCTACATCATTATCAATTTACTCTAAATTATCCTTCTTGCATATCTTACAGACAATTTCGCTCATTTTAGTTCTTCTGCGAATACCCACAATTCGCATTTTATCACGTAGCGAAATTCCAATAGTCCTCTCCATAGCTCGCTGAGCAAATTGGAGCTTCTTCATACTACTAACTAACTGCTTAGGAGCATGTTTTGATTCCATAAGTCATTACTGATTAAAGATCTTTGTTTTCGAACTTTGAGGTCTTGAATACTTAGATGCGGCGCAGTTACTTAACCACTGAAGCGACATTAAAATTATATAAATATACATGAACATCAAATACATATTGCGTAGCACCCGAAGTAAGCAGGTTAATCGGCTTTTAGTAAGATTCTAATAATGCTATTAATAATTGTAAATATACTAAGAGCAGGCAAGTCCTTATTGAGATGTTGAGAACTCACAAATTGTACTTACATTTTGCAAAATACAACCATTAATTTGGAAAAAGTAAGTGAAATTTCTGAGAAGATTGAAAGTTTTTCACTTCAGTGGTTTATTCCTTTTATTGGGTAAAAAATAATTAATTCAACAAGATTTATATAAGTTTTAATTAATACGCTATAGGTTCGCTTTCGAGTCTCTGGAAGCCTTCAACACGCACGTGTGCGCTAGAAAAATGATTTATTAATTATAATTGTGGCAAAGCCCGTCTGATGGTACTCGTATGGAAGGAAGAATTATTCAATATGATGCCCACAACCACTTTCTACCATTGTACAGCTCGCCAAAGACGGGGAGTTCACCCTCATAACTTAAAGCCTAGATGGTCACGTACAGCGCGGTTTCAGAGATGTTTTCTCCCACGAACTCTCAGGTTATGGAATGAGCTCCCTGTCGAGGTTTTTCCAAGAGACTACAGCAAGAGGTTCTTAAAAAAGAGGTAAAAAAGTTTCTTCAGGGTTGGCAACGCGTGCGTAATGACCCTGGTATTGCACTCACTCATAGGCTACGGTAACCGCTTACCATCAGGTGGGCAATATGCTTGTTTGCCACGTCAATGGTATAAAAAAAATGGAAGCTTACAATACCAGAGCCGCCATCCTTTATCGGTGCCCCACCAGCGTATACCGATAGCGCAGACGGGGTTACCATTCCATTATTATCTATAAAAAAATCTAAGTATTTCTACTTAGGCTACTAGTACAATAATTAACTACTACAATAATTACTAGTACCGCATTTGAGTATTCTGACACTTCCCTATGGTTGGCTGGGAGACAATGCTTTTAGCATTAACCCTTCTTTGCATGATTTTTCTTTATTGGTAAAATAAATCAAAGTGATATGATTCATGTTCAAAATTAAAGGAAAAATGGTTAAGAAAATAAATTTGACAGCTATGTTTTTTTTCTGCTCCATTGCACTCCATTAAAAAGGTATCCATACACGATCAACTTAAAGTGAACTTGTTCTTTTATATAATTTTTGGGCATTTAATGTTATGATGGAAATTTCCACCACTATGCAAAGAAGGGTCAAATCCTCCATGTACATATGTATGTACTAATGAATAAATAAATACTAACCCCATCGGCGTCTTCTACCAGATGTGGTCCTAGCGAGGCGAGTGTGCTCCATTTGCAGGAAGGTGGCGCTCTGGACGCGCATCGCTTGTGTGCTTTGAATTTGCACAATTCACAGGCGAGCGCGTGGGCGGTACCGAGCGCGCCAAGTGGCTCTCGGCACACGTTGCAGAATGTCGGCCGGGCGTGTGTTGCTGTATACCTGGTAAATAAAAACCTCGCTGTATTTATTTTTTATGATACTGAGAATACCAGAGGGAGACTTTGTACAAAAGTCGATTGCTTGGGTGCCTCTGCCCATTCGTGTTTCAACCGTAAAGCAGTTGTGTCTGCATGGTTGTGTTTCAGTTTGAAGGGTGGGATATGGCGTGAATTTACAGGGTACAGAGAAATAACACCTGAGTTCTCAGGAATGGCAACGCATGGGGGGTATCATAAACGAAACAGTATACTCTATTATGTCCATGGTACTGTCCATGTCTATAGGCTACGGTTACCACTTTCCATCAGGTGGGCCGTCAGCTTTTTTGCCATTTTAAGTAGTATAAAAAAAACCAAACTGACGGTCTACTTGATAGATGTGGTATTCGTCGCCTATACATATAGCCGGCAATACGAACATTGCTGAATACACTTTGATACAGCTAGCTGACGGTCCACCTGCTTGAAGATGCTAACCGTCGCCTACAGGACGGTTAGGGATTGTTAGCAATGGAGTTGGGCAGTCCCATTGCTAGCAATATACTCTATTAGATCGATCTCCATGTGGTTCCCCTTGGAAACCATCAAGAACAACTCTTGTTGAATTCGTCACGATGGGCTAACTGGCTTGCTTCATCCTCACCTATGATCCCTCACTGGTGCCCCGCCGGTGTACACCGATAGCGCGGGCGGGGTTTTCATTCCATTATCATCCATTAAAAAAACCGTCGCCTACAGGGGAGGGGAAAGAAATATAATGTTTGGGTTATTAACACTTTCCCTTTGTGATCCAAACGGTGTTGCCCGTCGTGGTAGGAGGACGTACTTACACGCAAATGCAATGACTAATTTACTCGTCACCAGTCAGCAACGTTTGGATATGAAAAAGTCACTGGTCAGCAAAGTGTTAAGTCCGCCATTTACATCATCTAGGTTTTTTTATACAACTTAGAATGGCAAACAAGCTGACGGCCCACCTGATGGAAAGTGGTAACCGTCGCCTATAGACATGAGCAGTACCATGGACATAACAGAGTATACTGTTTCGCCCATGATACCCCCATGCATTGCCATTCCTGAGGACTCAGGTGTTATTCCTCTGTACCCAGTAAATTCACACCATATACCACCCTTCAAACCGAAACATAGCTATGCAAACACAGCTGCTTCACGGTTGAAACACGAATGGGACAGAGGTACCTAAACGATCGACTTTTGTACAAAGTCTCCCTCACCTACCTAGGTGACTTCCCTTACCTAGGTGTAAATGGTGGATTTAGCATAGTTTAATAAATAAATAAAGTAAGAGCTAATAAATTAAATGTTAGTTTATGCTGTACCAGTGGTGGTCTCCAGAGGACAGTCGAGCGACGAGGTCGGCGACATCAGCGCCGCGGTGCAGGGCGCCTCGCAACGCACCAGCCCAGGACTCCATCTCGCTTCGGTTTTCGGCGCACAGAACCAGAGATCGGCTTGCTGTTATTACCTAAAACAATATTTACTGTTTTACTATAAAGAAGTCAATAGTTGTGATAGACGGGTGTTCAGTACATGTTTTTTTTTATACAACTTAGAATGGCAAACAAGCTGACGGCCCACCTGATGGAAAGTGGAACCGTCGCCTATAGACATGAGCAGTACTATGGACATAACAGAGTATACTGTTTCGCCCATGGGTTGCCATTCCTGAGGACTCGGGTGTTATTCCTCTGTACCCAGTATATTCACGCCATATCCCACCCTTCAAACCGAAACACAGCCATGCAAACACAACTGCTTCACGGTTGAAACACGAATGGGACAAAGGTACCCAAGCAATCGACTTTTGTACAAAGTCATCCTCTGGTTAATTCATTAATCGTAAAAACATTTTTCTATCAGCCACCTTTTATAATTTCTCTTTAAATATATTCAAGGGTAGTGTTTTCATTTCGTCCGTTAATTTAACTTATACCTATTTCCAAAATTTACGTATACGAAGTTGCGGTTGAAAGTCTATGATAATGAGGGTAATAAACGTACATTTAGTGTAGTTTTATGTCCTATAACATGTTCAAACTTGTAGTTATATTGTTGTAGGCCTGAAATATATTGCAGACTCCAGGGCAGGTCATATAGAGTGACTAAAAGTGCTAGTCGTAATAGAGGTGCTGTAATGACACCTTTGGGGATGAAAAGGCAGTATTATTCTGTTATATCACCTTTATATTCCTCTTGACCTTACATCATATTTATTATTCATATCATTAAGCCTCATCTTACATATGTGTAGCTCTACAGCGAAATTACAGGGGGGGAGTCTCTCTCTGGTAAGACGATGTATGTATGATGATGATCATCATCACCATCATCATCATCATCATACCAGCCGTTAATTGTCCACTGCTGATTATAAGCCTCCCCCTATTGAATGGTTTTGTCAGTAGTTGCCACGTTTAGCAGGCGGGTCGGAAACCGCAGTTTGTCTTTTGGTAATGTTTAAGAGGGACGCTATTATCCATTCCTTGGCTATTAAATTCCTTTAGCAGTCTCGTACAACACTCATTGGAAAGGAAGGGGTATAGGGAAGACGATTATAAATTGTCCAAATTCGAATATTCGTAGGTGCTCTTGATTCTATACTTGTAATATGATATTACTTTGTCTCCAATGCAAACCAAAGGCGCGGTAGGTAGGTACATCATAACAAGGAATATATGCACGATGGAATAATAGCATCATATACGAGGCTTGGGACTGTAGTAACACAATTTGCATGCAAATTGCAATCAAAGATCTTGTTTCAGAGTACCATCGCCTATTGGCTGTATGCATAAGTATATTTTAACAACGTTGTGGTCTGAATATTGTGCCCTGCTATACAACAACATGTATGCATATAAATGCAGTGTAACTTTATCATTAGTCGGTTTATTATGAAGTTAATATTGCTATAATTATGTTAGAATAATTGGATATGTTGTACAAATTGATGTTTATTTATTTATTTAAACTTTAATACACAGTAAAACTATGTACATATGGCGGACTTAACACCGGACGGTGTTCTCTACCAGTCAACCACTGGGCCAACTGAGAAATAAGTAGGTAGTGCATTATTGAATTGAAAGAATATAAAAATTAATATTTAATATATTATAAACATATAATTAGACTAATATAAACATATATATACCTTAGCGGCTTAATTAACCACTATGAAACCTGGTGTACTTGTACTAAATATAATTCTGGACATAGGCTACTTTTCACATCCTGGCCAGTAAATATAGTCACGCGTACAAAGTCGTGGAAAAAACTAATATTTAATAATCCTGGAGAGAAATGGCACACATAAAAGTTTATGAATCAAATAATTACCTCTTGAAATTTGAATACCGAACTTTATATTTAAGTTACACTAAGAATTCTCATTACTGTAATATAAATTGAAATAAATGCCATTTGTGTCAAGACAGATTCACGTAATGTTTAATAATAGAATGAAATTATATTGTTATGGGGACTTATATTAAGATTTTAATTTTGTCTCAGAACTTTGCCAAACAATATACTGCGTATTATTACATAAATAATATTATATATTTATTAATGTAATAAATTTTATGTCTTTTAGTTGAATAGGTAAAACTTTAATTAACTTTACATTATTCAGTTGCAAAGAGAGAAATCTGTTAATTGAATTAAGTAAGAAAATTGAAATAGGTACTTTATTAAAATATACATAACCATAATTAGAAAATATGCTTAGTCAATTTTTTCTACAATAGAAAAAATAAACTTCAATCTTTAGTGAAATCGGTAATTTAGATTTAAAAACCAATTTAACCAACCAAGTGATAAAGATAATGATGATGATCGATTTTGATAAAATTGTTAAGTAAGTACTTTATATTATGCTCAATTTCGTGAATAATATAGTATATGTCATATATGTGTAAGTATATTTGTTATTTATATATATTTATTCGTTTACATATGTAATTTTAGTATGTATGTATATCAATAATTACTAGTACCGCATTCGAATATTCTGACACTTGCCTATGGTTGACTGGGAGAGAATGCTTTTAGCATTAAGTCCGCCGTGTACACATATTTGTACTAATGAATAAATAAATAAATTACTGATAAAGACATTTCCATTTATTAAAACATAATTACCTATATCTATAGTTATAATAATATGAATACTGTTTTCTTAGCTAAACAAGCCAACGTCTGTAACTGACAAATCAATGCTGTACACTCGAACGATCTTGAAAAGCGTCGGCAGCGAGCGTTGAATTTAATTTAACTTTCAAAGTTGAACGTGAAATAAGATTTTGTTCAAAGCAATGTCACGTGACACGTGATACTAATTAGTAAGAGTACGTCACGTTAGAACAAGCCACACGTTATAAACTCGGCAACTGTTGTTTGTTAGTTTGAACAAATAAAATACAAGACGTTATGCGCCACAAAATAGCAATATCAACGTAATAAAAACAATAATAGACTTAAATAGAAATATATTTTATTAAATGTGGTACAATATAAATATAATTTGCCTTTTAGTCTCAGAATAGAATGAGCCACGCATTGCTTTCCCATAGGTGTCATAAGGGGTGACTGAACAAAATTAATGGTCGAGGTATTGGCAGAAGCGTTCTTTATTAATTATTTGTCAATGACAAATTTTACATTACTAGATTATATATTCGACACAGTTTATGTAGAAAGTATGCAAGCAGGTTGTATCTAAATTTGTTAGGGTTATATGGCCGTATAACATTTTCTATACACTAGCCTGCTATGAATTGAGAAAAATAGCAACTGACGGTGTATCTTTCGTCCTCTTTTTACTAATTATATTTGCATAAGAAGGAAGGAAGCAACCATATGATTTACAGTTTTTATTTTATCATTCCTTTTATGTAATTCCTTGTTCTTAGGTTCGAAACGAAATATGGCGACGTTGCTATTTAACTATCAATTTTCAAAAATAATTTATCAATTTTCAATATTTCCGATTGATTATTTAAAAAGTATTCTAACAACGGACTAAGATATGTTACATATAAGTATGCCACTAAAAACTTTGCATCTACATCATATTTTGCCTTGAAATCAAATTTATGCTATAGAAATGCAATATTTCAATGTTATTTTAATCAATATATTCTCTATATATTTTTTATTGTACTTGTAAATTACAAATTTATAAATATTGTGAACAAGGGTGGCCTTATATCTGACAGAGATCTCTTCCAGTCAACCCAATACAGTTGGAAAGCATGTTGTTAGCGGGTAGCTGAAGTGCACGACTGCTGTACGAACAACTATTGATACTATGAATACGAATAACTATTAACACTAATTAATACATAAACAAATATACAAATAAACAGTTAAATTAAATATTAATACTTAGTTAACATTTTAGTTCGTTATTCTAACTTCGGTTGATTTTAAACAATCAACCGAAAACATTAAAAATTATTAAATAGTTTTTGAAGATTTTAAAGTTCTATCTAAATTCTATTCTATTCTATAGTTCCATCCCATCCATCTAGATGAGAGGCGGTCCTCCACCGTGTGTTTATCAAGGCACTTTCATCCACGCACAACCACTCTTTGGAATCAATTTACAGCAGCAGTATTTCTGAACAGATACGACATTATAACCTTCAAGAAAAGAGCATATTCTTTTTTAAAACGCCGGCAGCACACCCGTAATGTCTCTGGTGTTGTGGGTGATCATGGGCGACGGTAGTCACTTACTATCAGATGAACCGCATGCCCGTTTGCCCTCTGTGTTGTAAAAAAAAAATCAGATAATCCTGACGTTCTTGCACTTCGTCAAACTAAAGCTTTTAATATTAGTTTTACAGTAACGTTATAAAAGTAACTAAAATAGAAATCTCCATTGTCCGTTTCATCTTTACAATGATAAAGTTTGTTTATTTATACCTGTATATAACTGAAACTGCTAAAAAATAAAATACTGTATCGAATCAAAAGAGAACACTGTTATAAAAGCTTTATGTGTTATTAAATAGACGTTTTAAAACGAATAATTACGTTTATTCGGAAAAATACTAGAGTCAATTGTGAAATTTAACATCTCTTTTTAATAATCCCACAGCCTACAAAAAAGGCGAATTTGATAAAGTAATATTGAAATTATTTATTTATTTAATGCACAGTAAAATTATACGTACATTTGGCGGACTTCATACCGGACCGTGTTCTCTACCAGTAAACCACTGGGCATTGAATAAGAAATAAGTAGGTGATGCATTATTGAATAGAGGAAAAATAAAGTAATACTTGATATATTCATGACTAAGAGACAACATTTTCACAATAATATTTCGAATGCTTCTTCAACCAGCATTTGGAAGTTTTTACGTTCTCTTGGTCTTGGGTAAAGTAAATCTGATTTTACTTCCTACCCATTCACATCAAATGAACTTAACCGTCACTTTTCATCCACCAATTGTA